ACCAGTAAGAATTCGTTCCAGAAGGTTCTCCATCCTTCCACAGGATATTGCCAATTTGTCGCCAAATGGGCAATTTCTCAGCAACCCTGCCTTCCCTCGCCATTTTATGGCAACTTTAAATCTGCTTTGCGGGGAAGCCATCATACCGTGCCTGTACATTTCGTAACAATATGTTGGTAGAATATCTTCAGGAAAATTCTTTAATAGCAGTACGAATTGTTTATGATGTCGTAAAAGTAAATGGAGGTGTTACAAATATTAACATAATTCCAGATGTGTTACAATATGCCAGATCTACTCATGGTACATATGTTTAAACACTCAAATACAAAAGACTGTGTGATGATAAAGCAATATTATTGGACCAAAAAAAAATTGAGTACAGATATTTCTTCAGTTAATGTGCAAATCGCAGATTCAAAACGTCATCTATTTTTGCATTGATGTTTTTATTAGTATTTTTCTGTTAGTATTTTGATGTATTCTTAATGTCTTTTTTTTCCCACATCAGAAATATACTTTTCTTATTTTGTCTTCAATTCTATACAGATATTAAATTTGATTTATATTATATGCATTTATGTTAAATTTTTTTTTCATCAAAAGTCTGATGACTTCTTAAAAACAACCCAGACAATTTAGAAACTGTCCTTATATTGCAGGTGATTATTTGGCAATTATATATTATTTAATAAGGTATATAACTGTTCCCCCATTGCCATTTTGTAAACTATAATCTATGTTCTAGAATTTATTTGTAGCACTTTGTAAAATAGTTAAGCTATGTCATCCATGATATCATAATTTTTACACAATTGAATGTGAAAAAAACCCAGTGTCTGAAAGTTCATTTCTGATTTTGTTTATTACTTAGATGGAATGTATTGTATTTGTTTACTTTTGTAAATGTGTGTTTTTGCTTATAAAATAAATTTTTAAGTCATGCTTTTAACTAATGATATTTCTGCTGAATTTTTATCATAAATATCTTTCTTGTTAATGGCTATAAATATTTAAGATGCATTAACAATCACTCCTGGTATTATATTCCTTTTTAATGTAATTAATATAGGAATTTATTTGTACTTAACTATTTTGTGGCACAATTGATAGCTGAAGAGATAGTGACTTACTCTGCAAATAAAGCAAGTTTTCTAGTTTGGCAAAAACTTAATTTGAAAGTTATTGAGGAGAACAACTCATGTTATGGATCTAATAGTAATGCTTTCAATACTCAAAAATAAGTTTTTTTTTTTTTTTTTTTTTTTTTTTTTTAAATCAAGTGTATATATTGTAAGCTTTGTGTTTTCAAATGGTACGATAATTAATTTACCCTCAGCCCTGCCAATGTGTCTAGACCAGATTTTTTAAAAAATATTCTTGAAAAAGTCTGGGAATTTCTTTCCCCTGTTTGCGTGGCAGCCCTGTTAATCATTTTCATCATTTATTGCTAGTATATAATTTAATTAATTATAATAAAGTAATTTGTTTTGTTTTTGGAACATTTTCATCTAACTAAATGTTTCAAAGGTTAATCATTAATTTTCAATATCTTTTTAAGCAAATGTTAGTAAAATTTTTTTTTTTAAGATACTTATTATCTATAATATGAATTTCATTTTAAAATGTATTTACAGTGCTCCAATCGTTTCCAAGATGCATTGAAAACAGAAAAAGGTCTTGGTATAGAATATGATGAAGATGTGATATGTGACGTATGCAGATCAGTAAGTTCTTCTTTTTCTTTTCCTTTTTTTGGGGGGGATGAACTTTATCAACTTCCATGGAATGTTTTTATTGCATACTATACATTGCTGATTTTTCTAATTTTAATTTGGCCAAACTTAAATATGAGTACTTAATTAGTCTATCAGTAAGTTTGGTACTGGGGCAGTGATAACTTGCGAATGTGTTTAGTTGTTACAGTGAGAAATAATGAACCTCAGAGAAAAAAATTATTTAATGTTTACTGTTACTTTTTAATCTTATGCTTAGTCATGTGTTGTTAGCTTCAACATGTTATGTTATTTAATTGTTATTATTTTGTGCATTTGTTATTTTAACATTCAGGTTGCCATGCACATAAAACAGTAACTTTTAAAGCATTTTTAGACTTGATAATGCTCCTAAGTTTGCGCGGGAGACTCTTGATTTCCGACCGTTCTTCCCCCAACCTAGTTTACAACTTATTTCTCCCGACTTTTTCTTATTATGGTGTGTGCGTTATGGCTTGGTTGTTAATCTTCAAAGACATGACTCCACATAGCTAAAACACAACTTTATTAACATACCCATTCATTAATACTATAATTCATTAATATTAATTAATAATTCATTAATATGTTAACACAACTCTTCATTAAAACAGAAAACTTCTACACAAATATTCGAACATCCTTGCACTCAAGCTAAGGGCAATGTTTGTGAGTTCGCTGTTTGCACTGGCAGTTATTACGAAAACAGCATGACATCATCTGGTGGCACTCACAGCCGAGCATAATATAATACTGCCACATAGTATCCCCCCACCCAGTGACACAGTCACGACGCAAAAGGGATTGATTGCAAAATTCCAGTTTAAGATATACACATTTGAATAAAAGTTATATTTTAAAATGTTCATGCAAAAATAAGAAATACAAAATATATGAATAGTAATATACAAGTAGTAATATACTTAAATTCTAATTGAACTGTATAACTATAAGAATATATAATAACTGTATAATAATAGAATGGACATAATAATTAAACAAAAATAATGAAAGGATAAATCTGTAAGAATTTTATATAACTTCTAAACATATGCAAAGGAAATTAATCAAGTATTTATATACTGTAACTTTTGCAGGAGACCACAAGAGAAAAATTTTTCAATTATATTACAGTGATCAGTTTTTTGGAAAAATGAACATGACGTCCACTGCGAGTAATTACTTGTTTTGGAGCAATTTTTGAGTCTTTTTGGTGTGGAATCTGAGGAATTATATGCTGGTTTTAAGCAATCAATTGAAACTGTAATGTTTTTGTTATTTACCTCAATAATAAAATTTTTGTCCATTTGTTTACCAACGGCATGGATTAGCTGTGTAAGGTGGAATTAGAGGAGGTTTAACAGAATCAGTACGCAGAAATACATGAGAACAGGTCTGAAGTGTGGGTGTACATAAATTGATGGTTGAACATGCTTAGAGGTTGGAATTGGTCTAACTGAATGCATGACTGATCGAAGCTGTGACACATAAGATTCAGAAGGAAGTACGAAATTAGTATCATTGAGCATATCTGAAGGTAATCAGTGTGGTACCATAAACAAGTTTCCCACAAGTAGTATTTATTTATATCTTTCTTAATGGCAGATCTGATACTTAACAGAATTATAGGCAGAATTTCAGTCCATTTTAGATTGTTATGAGCCATTATTGCACATTTAAGTTGCCTATGAAATCTTTGAATAAGCCCACTAGACTGAGGATGATAAGCAGTTCTAATTCGATGTATGCCCAAAAGTGAGAATCAAAATTTCGGCCTTGATCTGTTGATACAGTGCAGCCAAATCTGGCTATCCTGTTATCAACTAATATTTTACAAGTATTCTTAGCTGACATATCGGCAGTAGGTATGACTTCTGGGCATCTGGTGAACCTGTCAATAATTGTCATGCAATAGCAGTTCTTCAGACGGTAGAAGAGGACCTATAAAATCAGTATGGATATGTGCAAATCTTGCATCAGGCATATGAAAGGTACCCAAAAGTGATTTTGAATGTCTATGAATTTTGGAACATTGACATTGAAGGCAAGATTGAACAGCAGTTTTAATAAATTTCTTCATATTAGGCCAAAAAATCACTTAATAATTTGTTTTCTTCAGGCTGAAATATCGGTATGAGAAAAGTGAATCTGCTAAAAAATATTAGAGCAAAAAGATTCAGGAGTGAACGGATGAGGTATATTTGTATCCATATTGCAGTAAAGAGTAACATCCTCCAAAAGAAAATAGTGTTTCTCTAGTTTAAAAACTGGTGAAGAGTGAGGTTAAGAATTTTGAATTTCCAATTCCTGAAGTTGTGCTTCGGATAACTTTTTATAATCAATGTGTTGATTATCAGATACTGCATCTATCTAGCCTGGATAAGGCATCAGCAACGATATTGTCACGACCTTTGATGCATCATATGTCAGTGGAAAATTGGCCAATAAAGTCAAGATGATGAATTTGCCTTGGAGAACACTTTTCGGGCTTTTGCTTAAAAGCATATGTTAAGAACTTTTGATCTGTGTAGATTGTAAAAACCCTGCCTTCAAGCATGTGCCGGAATTTCCTAACCAACAAAGTATATATAGTCAATAGTTCTCGATCATAAGTTGACCATTTCCTTTGACCTTTGCTGAGTTTAATGGATAGAAATGTGTAATGTGTTCCCAAACTGAGTTATGCAATTGCATTAATGAGCTACCAACAGCAACATCCAATGCATGAGTACAAAGTTTCAATGTAGCACCAAGAACTGGGTGTCTGAGAAGCATTTCCTCAGCAATTGCCTTTTTTGCATTGGCAAATGCTTTATCAGCTTTGTTGTCCCCTTCGAGAGGGCATTCTTTTATTTTGCTTCGTTGTGAATGTTTCTTTGTATTAACGTTGCGTTCCAATAACCTATTCAAGGGAGCTAAAACATGCGAAGCTCATGTGACAAAACGTCTGTAAAAGTTAAATATGCTGAGAAATTTCCTTAACTGAGTCAAGATGTGTGGTTTAGGAAAATTTTGAATGGCCTAGACTCTCTCGGGTAAAGGTTTTAAACCCTGTTCAGATATGTAAAAATAATTAACTCCAAAGACGTTAAACCAAAATTGCATTTAGATACATTCATTTTTAACCAATAATTACTTAATCTTTCAAAAAGAGCTTTCAAGTATATCAGACGCTCAGTTTCATCCTTTCACGCAATCAATATATCGTCAAGAAAAGCAAATATGCCTGGCAGCTCACGAGTTATTTCATCAAAAAAGTGTTGAAAGGTTGCAGCTGCGTTGCATAGCCCAAATTGCATTCTTGTGCTATCATAAAGGCCGAAAAAAGTGGCAATAACCATGTATATCATACGGATTAGTTGGAATTTGATGATAGGCTTTTACCAAGTCTTTCGAGAAACTACCTTAGCTTAATGCAACTCTGCTGCAAAATCACAAATGTTGCAGATAGGATACTTATCTGTCACTGTCTGAGTGTTTAACCGTAAAAAGTCTCCCACTGGTCTCCATTCATTTGGCCTTTCTTTGACACCACATGAAGAGAAAGGGATAAATAGTTTTGGAGGGTCACATGTAGCCTAAATTGATTATTTTTTAAATTTCATTCTTAGCAATTTTTAATCTATCTGGGGCTAATCTTCTAGTCTTATATGAAACAGGAGAACCAATAGTTTCAACGAAATGCATAGTATTATGCTTAACAGTCTCATTGAGATCAGGAAGTTTCGACAGGGAAGGATAGTTAGACAGTAATTTGTCATATACACTTTACAATAATTGCTTAATAGAATACAAATTTGTGTTAATTTTTAAATGAGTTTTTAAATCAACAAGCTTTTTTTCCTTAAATCAGGTAGTAAATCAAAGTAATGCAAAAAATCAGATCCAATAATATTCATTCACACTTTACATAAAAAACAAAATTTAAATTGAGCTTCACTTTCTGTTATAGTGGTTTTTTTAAACACTGCGTGATCGCCGTAGAGGCAATACCTCCGCACGCAATTTGCAGACCTCATCCAGTAGAGAATCCAATTTAGAATTATTAGATGCATTGACAGATACAGGTGAAGAAACTATGCTTACCTGAGCATAACTTCCAATATTCTATCAGCAATGCGGGCAGCTTCCGAAGAATCGAACGGCTCAACTGATGCAAGGATAGATTAAATATTTGATGGCGTTTGCTCAGTAAATAACTCTAGTAACAATGAGTTGGATATATCTTGTTTTTCAGCACTCCATTTCATGACACAAAGCAATTCGGAAGGTTTTTCTGTCTCCAAGCTGCTCACCGGTGAGTAATTTCTGGATTTCATTGGTACTGCGTTCCCCACAATGATCCATAATAGCAGCTTTCAGGTCTTTGTAAGAAGAATATGTGCATTCCCAAAGTATGATATCTTGAACCTCAGAAGCACTCTCTGGTGGTAAATGAGTGATGCATTAGTTAAATTTTGTCTTGGGATCCGTAACAGGCTTGGGTGTGGTTAAAGCAAAACACAATGCCGATTAAATTTGTATTTTCACGGCTGCTGTTTCCTTCATGGCAGTGGCTGCAGGGAAGAACACGAAAAGTCCTGGAACCAAGCTTCTGGAGCTTCATGCATTTAGGCAGGTCACCATTCTATGTTGTGTGGATTATGGCCTTGTTGTTAATCTTCAAAGACGTAACTCCACATTGCTAAAATACAATTTATTAACACACCTAACCATTAATACAACTATATATTAAAATAAAAAAATTCTACACAAATATTCAAACAGCCTTCCACTCGAGCTAAGGGCAATAAGGCAATAAGTGGGTGAGTTCGCTGGTCGTGCTGGCAGTTATTATGAAAACAACATGACGTCATCTGGCGACGTGCACAGCCGAACATAATCTGCCACATTCTTAAAATTTCTCACAAGTTTTACGTAGCTTGGTTAAATACTTTGTTATTTGCACACACAAAAAAAGTTATTTTGGGGCATCTGAAAGCACTTGGCTTTCCTCTAGATTACATTAAAAAAAACCAAAGTAGTTTTCGTCAGTGAGAAATTACAGCATGCTTCTGCTTTGGGAATGAGAGCACAACTTTCCGAAAATGTTGTGTTCCAATTCTCCAATGAGCGTCAAGTGCCACTGCGCTTGATCTGGCATATAATTACAAATGAGCACAAAGCAAAATCGAGGTTGTTGTTTTGCTCATCTTTTCACTGAGCGGTGTGAGTTTCTGTTATAGCGGTTTTTTGAAACACTGTGTGATCGTCGTAGAGACAAAACCTCAGCACGCAATTCGCAGGCCTCATTGAGTAGGGAATCCAATTTAGAATTATTAGATGGACAGATACAGGTGAAGAAACTGTGCTTATCTGAGCAGGTGTAACTTCCAATATTCTATCAGCAATGCCGGCAGCTTCTGAAGAATCGAACGGTTCAACTGACGTGAGGGTAGATTAAACATTTGTACAAGAAGATTTGTTGACAAACATAAAACGAGTCATTTCCGGATTTTATTGGTACCGCTTTCCCCACAATGATCCGTAATGGCAGCTTTCAAGTCTTCGTAGGAAGAATCTGTGTTTTCCCGAAGTATGATATCTTGAACCGCAGAAGCACTCTGTGGTGGTAAATGAGTGACGAAAAGTTAAATTTCGTCTTGGGATCTGTAACAGGAGGACCAATAGTTTCAGCGAAATGCATGATACTATGCTTAACAGTTTCATTAAGATCAGGAAGTTTCGACAGTGAAGGATAGTTAAGCAGTAATTTATCATATACACTATTTGCAATAGCTGCTTAATAGAATACAAATGTGTGTTAATTATACTGCAATTAATTTTTAAATGAGTTTTTAAATCAACAAGCTTTTTGTTCCTTAAATCACGTAGTAAATCAAAATAATGTAAAAAATCAGATCCAATGATATTCGTTGACACTTTACACACATGAAAATCAAAATTAAAATTATGACGAAGGCCGAAGTCAAGACTTGATGATTTTTCTCCTTAAACCGGAATAGGAGTACCACTGGCAGCAGAAAACATCATAATAGTTGTCTGATGCATTTCGTCTTTGGTTGCTCAGAGGAGACTGACATCGTGTGATATGGCATATAATTAGCAAATGAGCACAAAGCAAAGTCGAGGTTGTTGTTTAGTTCATCTTGTCGCTGAGCAGTATGAGTACACTTTCGGTCGTGAAATAGTTTAAGAAATCGCCGTCTTTTGTTTTAGTTATGTCTAGAAAAAAGTAAAATACTCATGTACAAAAATAATAGACAAGTGACTTTCCTTCTATTATTTTCTCAAGGAGATGTGTAATACATTTGCAATGTGTACTGTGTGTCAGTGCATTTCTTTGATTTTGCACAGTGGAAGGGCCGATGTTCTCAAACATGTGCGTACATAAAAACTAGGAAACAAATGTTTAAAAAATTATTAATGCAGAATGCCTGCTCTCTACGTTTTGACTGGAGCACAACCTGCCACTGAATGCATCGGATCATGCTACGGCTTTATTTTAAAAAATGTATCCTGATAGCCAGATCGCTAAGAAATACCCAAGTGCAAGGAACAAAAGTATGCAGGTATTAAAGAAATGGGTATGAAAAATAAAATATTCAGTTATTGATTGCATTAAAACAGTTCCATTCTGTCTTTCTACAGATGGAAGCTGTAATACTGATTCAACACTGCATCCAATTGATGTTTCTTTTTTTTTAATCCGATGCTAAATATTGAGTGTAGATTATTATTTGTTCCCATTGTAGAAGGACATGCGACAGGCACAGCTAATTATAAAAACTTTTAAGTACATTATGTAGCACAGCTAATGAATAAAACTTTTTTTTAAAAATGCATTTCCTGTGGATAATTGTGGTGTTTAGCAGCAATTCTCTGCAGGAATAAACACCACAGGTCACCACAATTATCCACAGGTCTAACTAAAACAAAAGACCGCAACTTTGTGCTGATAATGCATGATAGTGGTAGGCTTGCAGATTGGTTTTACAGGCATCTGTAAAAAGGAAAATTCAGATCTGTAAATTATGAGGTGCACATGTCACTGCTTAAATTTATCAGTTGAAAAACACCAATAAGTGTGGATGAATCATTGTTGATATTTATTCTTATCTTGACAGGAGTTCCAAAAGGAACGAAAAATTCAAGCAATTCCAACAGATGCATAATACTGAAATAAGAAAAATTTTAAATGTGTGTACATATTGGCTATCTTTAAAGAAATGTTTATCTAGAATCCTGACCAATGGAACCTGCTTCTTGCATTGTTTAAGGAAGAAATAAATGCTTCTAGAGTTAAGATAAAAAGTTATAAAATACCTAAAGTGGAGATGTAATTATTATTTCTGCTGTTAAAAGTAGGTTTAAGAAAAGTAATTTCTGCACCAGTGAACAATTTAATTGGTAGTTCCCAAAATAATGCTACAAAATGTAAGTGCAAAGCTGATACTGAAAATTAAAAAAGAAAAAAAATCTGAAAGGTTCCTGATTTTAACTTAATGTTCAAAGGGGTGCTTTTTTTTTTTTTTTTTAACATTTTGTATGTTATCTTAATTTATTAAGTATCATGTTTTACCTACTCAAACTATAAAATTCAGTTTAACAGCAGTATCACAAAATAATTTATAATGAGCATATCTTTAGAATTTTCAATACAGAGTCTCGCATGCTGGAGATAAAAATGTTCCCCCCCCCAATCCATATAGTGTTGCCATTGCTTGCTTTGAAATCGTTGAGTTTGTTAATCAAAAATTCGGTGAAGTGTTTCAAAATATGAAATCAATAATAAAACAAATTTCAAATTCAAATTAAGGCTTCCACATGCCCATATTCTGTGGAAGATTACGTTATTGAAATTTGGATGGCTCTAGGTACTGTTGTTATTGCAGTGCGAGAAACATACATACATTCATGCAGGTTCTTCATTATTTAATTTCTTTAAATATAATACAGGGCAATAATATTTGGTGGCAACAATGTGAAAAGTGAAATAACACTTATCGTGAATTGACGCAAAATGCCAAAACAAAATTAACAGACCTTCTGGGTAATGCTCCTTTGGGCTGAAAATGCTCAACAAGAAAACATTTTCCAGTTACTGTAGTTTATCTTGTGAAGAACGAACATTTTTGTTTTTGTCTTTGGACCTTAACACAAAGCTTTTTGCTTTTTTATACAGTACATTTTGCCAAAATTTGATGTTCTTTATGGGGTTGATGGTTCTACAAAGCAGAATTCCATTAATTCATGTTTTGCAATCTATGATTTATAATGTGTTTAGAGACATTTTATCAAAGTTTGTAAAGACAGTGCTTCTAATTCGATAAATGATGTGATTTATGGTGAAATAGAAAATCAGAAGAAAGATGAAGATTTGTTAGGGGCTGCAGCTTACAAAGTAGTGGAACTTTGAGGGTAAGACAAAAATAAGTTTTAGTTCTACATTAGAAGCTACTTCTGTGGAACATGTAATTACATATTACATAAATTTTCAGTCAATGATAAAGTGATTTTACATGCTAAACTTGCAAATGTTTCTGTGCTAGAAAATGCATCTTTTTCCAATATAAGATAATTTTTTAATAGATTTCCAGTTTTACTTCATTTAGTCATGAAAGACAATAGTAATGATGTTGTAGCTGATAAATGGCACTCGCAATTTTGAAGTTTACGAATAGAAAACTTGTATAAAGTTATAAAACCAGCTAGGATTGACATCCATTGAAGTTTAATTGGAAAACTGAAGGGTAATGATGGAATTTTATAGTGAACTGTCTAGATTAATTTTGGCCATCCTGAGAATTTCCCACAGTAATGCAGACTGTGAGAGGATTTTCAGTATTGTTGCAAAAACAAAGACTAAATTTATATCTAATATTATTAGAAAAAATTTTATTAGCAGAAGCAGGCATATGTGACAGTTGCTACGAATAAATTATGAAGTTTCTTTTTTAATGAAAGCAAAATTCACCACTGTTCATAGCATTTGTACAAAAACTGATTAAAGTATTATTTTTCGTTAAAATAGTTTTTAAAACTATTTGCATCTTTTAACGAAAAAAAAAAAATGTATGTATGTTTCTCGCACTGCAATAAAACAACACTACCTAGAGCCATCCAAATTTCAATAACGTAATCTTTCACAGAATATGGGCATGTGGAAGCCTTAATTTGAATTTGAAATTTGTTTTATTATTGATTTCATATTTTGAAACACTTCACCGAATTTTTGATTAACAAACTCAACGATTTCAAAGCAAGCAATGGCAACACTATATGGATTGGGGGGGGAACATTTTTATCTCCAGCATGCAAGACTCTGTATTTAAAAAGTTTTTTTTTTTTTTTTTTTTTTTTTGTTTTTTTTTTTTTTTTTTTTTTTTTTTTTTTCCATGTAAGTATTTGTGTACTTTTTGCATTTAAGAATTAGTAACTGAACTTACAGTTATTAATTAGCAACTATTTAAAGTATTTCATTATTTAAAATTATTTTTATCATTGATAAAAATCTTCTGGTTTCTTATAAAAAATATCCTTAATTTTTAGTGTTGGAGGTTAGAAAGTATGCAACTAGACTATTTTATTTTGTTTTGTTTTGTACTGTTTTATTATGTATTAATGTTAACTTTCTATATTAGTTCATGGTGATTTTCCTATGATTACATTTCTTTTTTGGAGGGTGGTATCATTACTGCTTTGTGATGAATTATTGAGATCATTATGTGAAAAATTCCATTTATTTTCATTTTTAACTTCATTAAATACATGAAGACTTATTTGGATTATGTAGTATGTATTATTTACATGCATGTGGTGTGCTAATAAAAAATGTAAATTTCAGCCTGATTGTGAAGAAGGAAATGAAATGGTTTTCTGTGACTCCTGCAATATATGTGTTCACCAAGCATGTTATGGCATAATGGCAATCCCAGAAGGTAGCTGGATCTGTCGACCCTGTGCCTTAAATATCAAACCTCCATGCATCCTTTGTCCTAATACTGGAGGGGCAATGAAGAGTACGAGGTAACTATTTGATATGATGAGGTATAATAATCAGCTGACAGTTATATTTTTGAGTAGTGTAAAAGACTTATTATTAGTCATCAAAGTGGGTATTTTTCAAAGCAATTTTTATTGTATTAAGGTCGTACAGAATTGTATGACACAAATGCTGCCACAGAGCGGAATACAATTTATTAACAAAAAACGAATAGTATATCAATTAGAAATAATCCTCGCCCAAGTCAATACACTTCTGCCATCTGGCTGGGAGGTTCCGAAGGTCTTGTTAAACCAGTCTATGGGCATGTTGGTGCAGCACTTGCAGATGATTGCATATAGTTCGGCAGAAGATTCAACATGTTGGCACCTGACTAAGTCCTTCATCTTGTCAAGCAAGGTGTAGTCCGAGGGGCCAGATCGGGCGAGTACGGAGGTTGTCAACACAGAGCCAAATGCTGTGGGGACATGCTGCAACAGCACATGCCGTGCCTGTTTGCCCAGACGACGTTGTTGAATGTGCCATCGCAGCATTCTGGCAAACTCACGGTATCGGTCGCTGTTGATGATGCACCCAAGCTCCAGCCAGTCTATAAGAAGAATGCCCTTGCCATTTGCTTCTGCGTGTTCAACACCAGCCTAGGCTTCTCGGGATGGGGGGTTGATGCATGCGTCCACTCCACCCCATGGAGCTATTTTTTTTTTCGGTAGTGTCGTGCAAAAACTAAGTTTCGTCTCCCACGACCAGGTGGGTGAAGAAGTCATATGGATCGGCATCATGTAGTGCAAGAAGTTTTTTGCAGATGTCAACACGCTTCGCCTTTTGTTGTGGTGTGGGTGCATGAGGCACCCACTTTGCACACACATTTGTCATTTCCAAATCACCATGCACAAGCCCTGTCTCTTCCTGCATCTTGTTGAATGTTATGCGCCTGTTCGCCATGATTAAATCTGACACGCTTGATCTTTTTTCACCTAATAAAATCTGAGAATTGCACAGAATTGGCATCGCATGCAGTATTATTTTCCCATGTACATATGTTTTTGCTTGAAATCATCAGAGAGTTGCGCAACTGTGGCATAAATTCGATCATTTACAAAGTACATCTTCATTTCAGTATTATATCTTCTAACAGTGACGTTAGGCAAAATGCCATATTTCTGAAGAAATGCAAGGTTCTTGTCCCATCATTCGGCAAACTCCGCAGTTCCCTTACAGTTCCTTACAAGTAACAAAATTTACTCAAGTGCAACAAAATCAAGTGTTACTGAGAAAAATGGCCATAGAATATGAAGGTGGAAGTTCTGCGTGTGCGCAGAACTATTTTGGTGAACTATTTTGGCTGTTTTGGTGACAGTGCATTGCCTTATGAATACTTTTCAGGAAACACAGGTGGTCAAAAAGTATCATTTATTAAAATGGTGTTTTCAAATAGCTCAGATTTCTGCACAGTAGCACTCAACACATAAATGAGTTTTTTTTTTTTTTTTTTTTTTTTTTTTTTTTTTTTTTTTTTTACAGAGTATTGGTATTAATTTAGAAGTCAAACAACAAAAATGAGCATTATATTTTAAAATTTTCACAGGACTAGTTTCAATGGTTTGAAAATATAACACTGATTTTAGTTGTTTGACTTCTAAATTAATATTTGTTCGGTGTGTTATTGTCTCTTAAGAGTATTGGTATTTATTTAAATATTAATTAAGCTGATTATTTTAAATTTTATTTTGAAAGTTATTATTTTAATCTTGAATGGCAATATTTATTTTTAAATATGTGCTATTTTAGATTGTTATTATTGTCTAACCTTATTAGTATGTTGTTCTGAATCATTCTCTGTATTTTAATTATCCTGTTTATCGAGTTACTTTTACTAAATCTCGAGATAACCTTCTAATAAGATATAATTGTATTTTGATCTCAGGAAGCAGCAGTTCATATGTTTAGACATCAATGATCTGCTTTATGTCAGAGTAAAGTTATAAGATTTCTGGGTACATATGTTTAGAGCAGTAGTTGTCAACCTTTAGAACACCACGGGCCACTACATATATAATTTTATATTTCGCTGACCACTAATATGAATTGAAAAAAAAAAGTAAATACATTTTTACACTAATAATCAACAAACTACACGTATTTCGTTCACATTAAAAAATTACATGAAAATTACAAAAATCTTATCTTTTTGTAAAGAAAGCTTCACATTTCCATATCACTGAAAAGAAACTTCACGAAAAGCAAGAACAAACCGGCAAACGTAAAGCAATATATCAATAAACTGACAGTGTTATGCCACCAATTTTTAATTATCATAAACATACTAATCATCGTTCAATAGCATATGTTTGTAATTCAAAAGGAAAGCGAATTCCAGTTCCAGCTATTATTGTAACAGCAGCATATCCATGGATGCTAATTCTCACTTTCAAATGTCACTAGATATACCTGCAAAAGTAGCTAAAATGTATAATCCATATTCTATAATAGGTTTGGTTACTCATCATTTTTTAAACTGAATCTTCATAAAAATATATATAATGTCCCAATTTTTCTGTGGACCATCAAACAGTTTTCATGGACCACCAGTAGTCCGTGACCCCTGGTTTAGAGGTTTTACTCATTTTTTTTTTTATTATTTTTGTCATTGAATTAATAGTTGAAATTAATATTTTAAGCTTTATTTTAAAAAATTAACAACTTCTTAGCTTTCCTAATTTAAATGTTTCTTCTTATAGCAAATTTACAAATATCTGAGAAAAATTAATTAGTAACAAAATTTAGTGCTGATGCACGTTATTTCCCTGCTACTTAATGAAACCAGTTTATTTATTTTTTGCAGATTCCTCAGGATATTTTAAGCATTTCTGCATTATAGCTCCTGAATGCATTAGTTCTTATCAATGTTAGTTCAGTTCAAGAAAATTTTTTCATTAAGTTTGCTTGAATAAATATGGATTTTAAAACCAGTTACAGAAAATATTGAATATACAAAATGTTTTTATGTTTATATTCCTCCATTTAGAGTTAATTTTTATTGAGCATTTAACTATAGTATGTCAATTTTTAATTATTTTATTAGTATTCGTTGGAGAATTACGAACTTCCTATGTAAAAAATTACTAATACAATATCGGTGTTGATGCAATGACAACTGTTACATGTTTAAAGTAATTTTTATGAATAAGTGTAATATTAGGTTATTATAAGTAGTAAGTTTGTAATTTCATCTTAATTGATTGTTTTATGAAACATAAATTTGGTGATTAAAAATGCATAAAAAATAACCATCATCCTACTTTATGGATTATAATTATTTGTTGTGTGGTATTTGCCTTTTAAAACCATTTCAAGGGACTTCATGAGTTACGTATGTAGCATCTAATGTCTATTATAAGTTATGAATGTATAAAAATTATGAAGAATATATTTTTTCCCTCTTTCCTTTCTTCTCTCCCCCTTTTCTTTGTGTGTGTTCTAAATCTTAATCTGTGGATTGTTCCACCATATCCTTAGCATGTGAAACATTTACACGCAGGTATCTACATTTATTCTATTGTAGTGTATAACGAAATAGTTATGCACTATATAGAAATTTATTGTTTAGATATTTTTTGCAATTAGCCTTCACCATGTGATACAGCCAGAGACTGAGCATCTGAGAGACTAACTTTTTTTGTTTGTTCCTTATTATTGTGGCCTCTGTTATTAAAAGAGTCACCATAGTCCTCTTATTAGTTAATTATGCCAAAGCAGCAACCCAGCTCAGAGCTTTTTGCATGACCAACAGCTCTAAAATCTGTTCCATATTCCACTTATAGTTATCTATTCCGAGAAGATCTCTAAGCCAAAGATCTGCTTTTTGTTTCATAATTTCATTAGAAACAAATAAATAAAGCATTTTTTAATATCAAAGGTAATAAACTCTTTCAGAAAAGTGAAAAAATGTAGCAAATTGTTAATTAAAATATCATTTGTAAATAAAGGTTCATTTTTTTAAATTTGATGTGAGCAATTAAAAATATATAAATAAAAATAAAACTAACCATACATTTTTATGACATAATTATTCATAAAAGTCCGTTAAATCAGAAAGCTAAAAGTAATCAAATAGCAGATGAGAGCTGTTTTGTAGATTTGTTTTTCAAAATTGTACATTGATTTTATGCACTATACACAGATTGACTTTCAGTACTGCAAGCATGACAGTTTTGTCATTTAGCATCTTTTATGTATTTAATAAAACATAAACGGGAACATAAAATCTGAGAGGTTGCTTATGAAGATGATTTGCAAACACAAACAGAGACTATTCTCAATCATTTATCATAAATAATTTCTTAAGAATCATAGAACCTTCACAGAAAGTAGATTAAAGGTATTTTGCTCGAATAGGTCAAAGGTAAGTGGTAAGGCATGCCCATTGATAAATTCATAAGCAAGTCAAAATCTATTGCTTTTATTTGTAAAATATATCAAGCATCACATTATTGGTTTTAAGGGTTGATCTTAAAAAATTGTATTCTGTTATGTAAAAAGCATACAGAGTTTTAAACTATTAATCGTCATAATATTTCCTATCTAAAGAATATATGATTAATTAAAACTTCATACTCTGTGTATTAACATTTTACTGTTATGGAACTTGTATTGTAAAAAATATAGGCCTAAAAGTGCAGTGTAATATTTAATGATATTTTGATATTCAGGCTTTCAATTTAAATAAATTACCCAAATAGAAACATATACAGATATATTTAATCTTTCAGAAAGCTTCGTTAATATACATAAAAGATCCCTCAATGTCTCTAAATTTGTGATGTCTTTAAATTCATTCCTTAATACCTGACAATTTTTTCATTATGAATGATCTTAAGAATTTTATAAGTTTTTGCATATTTTGTGTTGGAAATGAGCAAAATCACATGTGCAAAATCAGCCATGATTTTGCCATTCCCAGTGGGTACCACATTATATTAATTTTCTTTTTCTTTTATAAAACAGCAGTGGTGAAAAGTGGGCACATGTCAGCTGTGCATTATGGATTCCAGAAGTTAGCATTGGATGTCCTGAAAAAATGGAACCAATCATGAGAATTTCTCATATACCTGTAAGCTGCTTATGTTGTTAAATGACGTGATTGTTATATTATAGTCAGTACTTAGGTCTTCAAATTATTAATTCAGAAGTCAAAAAACAAAAATCAGCGTTATGTTTTCAAAATTTTCACAGGACTAGTTTCGATGATTTTACCGAACCACCATCCTCAGCTGCAAAACCGCAAATGAACAAGATAGGAAATAATGATTAGATAAGATAATAAAGCCTGGACAAGAATAAGCAACTGGCGCCATCTGTTGATGAAACCAGAACTAAAACATAATTTCTTTAAAGGCCGAAGGCAAAGATGGAGTGGAATTAGGATCGTTAACTAGAACAGAAAGATTTTTTTGAATGTGAAATACCTCTAGAAAATCCAGTTCTCCAATGGAAGATGTTTTTTGAATAATTTTGGCAGCAGAAAAATTGAAAAATTTAATTTACATTCACCAAATTAAGAGAGCCTTAAAATTCTGCGTCAAGGAACATGAGGCATTATGTTAGAAAAAAGGAAACACAGAAGTCTTCTGTTGCTCAACATTGTTGGTCCGAAAATCACACTTTCAATTTTTTTGCTGCCAAAATTATTCAAAAAACATCTTCCATTGGAGAACTGGATTTTCTAGAGGCATTTCACATTCAAACAAAAATCTTTCTGTTCTAGTTAATGATCCTAATTCCAATCCATCTTTGCGTTCGGCCTTTAAAGAAATTATGTTTTAGTTCTGGTTTCATCAACAGATGGCACCACTTGCTTATTCTTGTCCAGGCTTTCTAATCTTATCTAATCATTATTTCCTATCTTGTTCATTTGCGGTTTTGCAGCTGAGGATGGTAGTTCGGTAAAACCATCAAAACTAGTCCTGTGAAAATTTTGAAAATATAATGCTGATTTTTGTTGTTTGACTTCTGAATTAGAATTTGTTCGGCGTGTTATTGTTTTTTAATAATTTATTCAGTGATGTGCAGTACCATGTACTATAATCAAGAAAATTTTTGTTCATCAGGTAAACCAACTGAATTCAAATATTGCCGAGCCTCGGGTAGGAAATGATTTTCAAAGCAATCATTTATTAACACTTGTGTCATCCATGCTGTTTTGTTTGCACGATATAAAATGGAGGAAATCTTATTTCGTTTAAATGCTCAAGGTCTTGTATTTTTTTCCGATTACGAAAGGTTTACACTTGTGAATTTCTGCAGCATTTGCACATGCCAAAATTGTTAGTTTGGCTTTGGAATCTTTGACACTAGTTGGAGCTGTTTTGGTAGAGGTTGCCAAGGTATTTCACTGTACATATTGCTAGAAAGGCAAATTTCATCAGTGTTTTGAATTTGTTAAGATAATTTTTCACCATTAGTGAATACAATAAATTGTTCAGCAGCTTCAGTATCGGCCATCATCAGATTGGCGACTGAAGACAAGTTGTTACGCTAAATTTTGTCTTGCTCTCTATTGCGCACTGAGATAATTAAGCCTGAATTGTATTTTTTTAGTTATTTATTATACTTATGTCTGTTTCTTGCAGATGCTTATATGAGTCCTGAATAAATAAATTGCCACGTATACTTATGGCTAATCAAGAGCCTGCGCTTCACATCTCACTGCCTGATGCAGTCTCTGTGGCCCTCATTTCTGCTAACAACTGCCTCCCTTAAGTTCTAAATTTTTGTCGCCCCTAAATTTTGAGATCCAGTGCTTTTCCTAAATTCCAAAAAATTTTGTCTTCCCATAATTTTGCTACTCAGTGCTTCTTTAAATTCCAAAAATTTTGTCTTCCATAAATTCTGTTCACCAGTGTGGCCATATATGTCCTGGTGCCGGTTCTGGGTTTATGTGAATAACATATTTATTGTTCTTAATTCAAATAGCACTAAATGTAATCTTTTGACCTATGAGCATCATTAACAAAATCTATTTTTAGCATACAGAAAGAAGTTTTTGTTAAATTTTTCCTCGTCAACATCTCTCTTGGTGCATTTAACTTAAATCTGCAATCATCGCTAAGCGTAATGTCAACAAAAAAGTTTACCATACTCTATTTTATTCAATTAAAAATTGTGTATGCATCACTGCATGAGTCATTACACAAGTTGTCATGTGTTGAAAAGCATGCAGTGATGAAAGCCAAATATGATAAATAATGATTCACTATGTTGACTTCAGGGATATAAAATACTAGTTGGTGTAAAATGTGTTTGTTTGTGAATGATGTTTCTGTGTAGAATGTGTTTCGGTTTTGAGAATTGTGCCAAGCAAATATGTAACTACGTGATACGCAGCAAATACGCAGGAGTGAAATTATTGATCACACAAATTTATTCTAAAATTATTGTTTCTTCAGTAACGAGGTATTTTATTTAGTGTCAAAGTGAATTAAGAATAGGGACTCTCCACATGTTTTATTATGAGGAAAAAAATCAAATGTGCGTGTGTAAAGCATAAAAAAATTTTAAAACGCTGTTGGTGGCTTTGAGATCCAGATTCTAGATCATTCCGGATATTGGACGTACAGATTTTGGACTTTGTACTTTATTTTTTATATGGGAATATTGATGAAGTGCATTGCAGGAAGCTGTTGTAGTATATTATATTGATAAAAGCAGTATATTTAAATTTTCAGAGATTTCTGTGCGTGATATTGTATAATGTACGATACTTAAAGATGGGTTTTTATTTATTTTTTTTTATAGCATAAATGTGCTTAATATGGGGCATTCAGATGGCAATGCATCTGGTGCTGTAATTTTAGAATATAATCATTTAAAAAAATGCTCCAGCTTTTATGAAAACAACTGTGATTTCAGTTGTTTTGATGTTTCATTACAGCACTGTGCTAATAGGTTTACATGTGGAGTAAAGATTAGACTTGCACGTGTTTGAATAAAGTCATTCAAAAGTGCACTGAGAGATTTAAGTATTCTGTGAGGTAGATTTTTTTCTTTATGTACTGGAGTTTTTGCATAACACACATGCACACGCACACACAAAAAAAAAGGGGTACGAATTGGAAAGAATCTTTGGGTTGTGCTCCATGCGATGTATATTAAGTATCAATTATATAAATTAAATGTCAGTTTCATTAAGGCAAACGTGCTGAAAGACTGCAAGGCGAGTACTATGATATATAGGTTAGTAGATTATATTCTGTGACAAATTTTAGAGTTACAGACAATATTACAAAAGTATGTTTCCTACTTGCTGATGGAATAACAATATTTTTTATTGGAATGGTTGGCTGCAACATGATTCAATATTTTCAGTTGAATCATCACATAAAATAAATTTTTCACCATATCATCCAACATATACAACAGAGTATATCCTTACTTCAAGAAAGCAAAAATTCTGGCAAATGCAGGGAAGGTCATGCATCTCCTTTTCTTTGACCCTTATGTTTCACTAGGGAAAACTAATCATTCTTAACTTTTGTAAAACCATGCAAATGGAAATGTTTCCATAAAATGTCTTTACTTTGCACTATTTAACATTGAATTTGGTGTCATGAACAAAATTGAACTATGCTGTTGAAGAATGTTTTAATGTTGAAGAGGGGTTAGAACATATCAATTGAATATGGCTAAAGATGCATTTAGTTGGAGAAATATGTTTACTGTATAAAATTTTTATTCGTTATGAAAAACAGTGTTGTTACTTTTTTATATTTGAATGTTGAAGAGGGGTTTAGCTAAAGATGCATTTAATTGGAGAAATATGTTTACCGTATAAAATTTGTACCCATTATGAAAAAAGGTATGGTTATTTTTTAAACGACCAACATAAATTTGATTAACTATAAAAAAAGAACCTTTGCCAAAACATTTTGTCTTTTACAGGCTAGTAGATGGGCACTTATATGCACCTTATGTAGAGAAAGAGTCGGTGCTTGCATTCAGTGTTCAGTAAGTGTTTTACTCTCTTTCTTGATCCTAAAATTACAGTGCAAGTTATTTAGCTGTTTATTGTCTAAACTGTCTCACATATTAAAAATGTATTTTAGGTAAAACAGTGTAAAGTTGCCTATCATGTGACTTGTGCATTCGAACATGGATTAGAAATGGAAATGAAAACCACACCAATTGATTCAAATGAAGAAGGTGTAAAAATGCAGGTTTGCTTGGTTTCTAATATATAAATGAATTTTTGTTCTTTTTGCTGTATAATACTAATGTTAAAATTTAAGTATGAATGCAATCAATTTTGTTCTGTAGTCTTATTGCTCCAAACACAGCAAGGCTGAAAATTCATTTGAAAGGGCTTCATCAGTAGCTAAATCTCCAAAAAAAAACAGAAAAAAGAAAGAAATGAAAAGTGAAAAGGATGCAGATGATGAAGTTGATGAACACAATGCACGCCTACAAAAGTAAGAGTGAATGAAAGTTATTTAATTAGTAGAAGAAAAATGCAGGAGTATTTTAATAATAATTAATTAATGGAAATAATCAGTAAAGTCCTTAAATGTAGATTTTCTTTTTTTACAGATTTTTTGGTGGAGGGATTTAAAGTTGAATTTTTTGCAGATTGCATGTTAGACCAAAAATAATGGATTTTTTATGATTGTGTACTGTCATTTTATGTAGTTATTTTACATTCTACTGTGCAATTTCCTCAGTAGTCCCTTCATATTAGGAATCAAAATTATGAATAAATAGAAAATTTTTTCAAAACATTTTTTGTTATAACTTATGTCAATGTGTTAAAATAGAAATTCAGATTAATTTCAAAGTCATGAACAGGAAACAGGGCATCTCAAATTTTTCTGTCAAGTTTAATTTTCTATGTAAATGCATTGATTATTAAAAGCATGCAGAATGTTTTTGCTTTCATAGAAAGAAACTTGCATCAGATTCTTGTGAGATGTATAGATGTATAGGTTTGTAAAATTATTATGATTGAATTTTATTCAGTTTTAATGTTAAATATTGTTTAATCTTATTCATTTGATTGCTGTATAAATGTTAACATTAGTTTCCTTTTTTTTCTTTTGTTTAACCTTCTTTTTTTCCCCTCCTGCCAGAATACGATCACTTGAAGCTCAATTTCATAGATATGTTAATGTAAAAGATACAGCAGAGTTACTTAATGTGGATCCTCAAGTTGTGGACTTCTTGTATTATTATTGGGTACTAAAGAGGAGGGTGAGTTTCAGATATGAACATAAACTAATTTTCTTTTGTGTTTTTTTTTTTTTTTTTTTTTTTGTTACTCATTGGTTGTCAGGCATTAGTTTTAATTTAATAAATTTGGTTGAAGAAATAAATTATTCTCCTTTTGAGGTCTAGTTTTTTGTTAATTTTGTATGTTAAAACAGTGGTAATTCTTTTCTGAGTTTAATTTCTTCCTTTAATGTTTAATTAACTCAATAAATTCATATTTTTGTAGCATGTCTTCTGTAAATAGATTAAATGTACTGTAAGTTAGTTTAAGTACTCTTAAGTAGTACAAAACCAAACTGTTAATTGTGGGCAAAACATTTGTGTTTGGATTTTGTTCTGAGGCCTTTAAATGTTGGCCTTTTTTAACGTTGTAAAGCAAAATGTTGATTTTTTTTATTAGTATTCCTAATTTGATTATTTTCCTACATTTATAAGTACCATGTATAATTTTGCAATTTGTAGCATTGCAGTTAAAGCACTTACTTGCAGTTGAATTCCAGTTTAAACCTCATCTGAAAAGATATATTTACACTCTTTTTCATATAAAATTTACAAATGTTTTAATACACACTGCCTTTCCCCCCATAAAATATGTTTGCATTTAGAGTTACAATCAGTGGCGCCTCGTAGCTAAAATTAGTGGGGGTGCTGTTTCAAAAAATTTAACCTTTGTTTTAAAATTGTGTAAAAGGAAACAAACATGTATAAAAAGAAAATTTATTTTGAAACTTCATGAAATCTTACAAGAAAAAAATTAAACACTTCTTAATTATTTTAACCTAAATTGTTACAGTTCAAATTTTATCTAGTCATTTTAAAATGAAATCCATTCTTCTTTTATTAATTTGCATGAAAAGATGAATAATTTTCTCCTTGATCTCTGGATGACAACTGAGGAAATTTTTCTTTATTGAAAGCAATGCAAGGGCATTTAGTCTTTCTGAATTCCTAGTGCTTCTTAAAAAAGTTTTCGTTTTCTTTCAATGTTGAAAAGCAGCGTTCTGCCTCTGATGTAGTCATGGGAACTCTCAAGAGAATTTGTGTCAGTTTCGTAATTTCACTAAGAACATCATCTAGATTATTTTCTAAGATAAATTTCAGGAACTAATTAATTTGCAGTATTCATGGATATCAGAGCTACAATAGTATACTTTTAGTTCAGTTTCAAGCTTTTTCTTTGTCAATCTTTGGATATGCTTCAGTGTCAGTACTATTTCTTCTACAGGATGTTCATTCCTAAAACTAGCAAAGCATTTCTTGTTGTTAAACAATTTAGCAGGAAGAATATTTGTACATTATATCAATACATAGTATAAAGTTACATATTTCCTTAGCTTCTGCCATCAGTGTCTTTGAAAAAATTATTACAGTACTTTGAGTTTCTTAATTTTAAAATAGCAGTTTTGAGATTTGTTATATATTCATTAACTTTAAACACACTAATTTCTCTGGATTGCATTTAGTTGTATACTATTTCAACATGAGGGATAATCTGATAAAAAATTGCTAACCGACACTTAAAATTATCATCATTTAGATATTTTAAAATTCCTGTCGCTTTTGCAATAGTTTGATGTGCATTTGATGTTGATTAAATTTCAGCAGGGCAATTATTTAAAAATTGCAAATTTCATGAACTCTGTTTATGGTCCGTATGGTGAAGTTCCACCTTGTGGGGGAATACCACACGCGCAGAGTAAAAAGAAATCACTTTTCCAACAACACGCCAGATTTTTTTCACTGCAAGAGCGACAGTGCTTTTCTTTCTCCCTTGGCTCACGTACTGCTTTCTGTGTGCGTATATGCAGAACAGCCAAACACTACGCCGCTGGAACTGGGAAGCGTGCAGTTCCAATCAAAGACTTTCGTATCTTTTTCACATACCGGGGGATGGCTATTGACATTTTAAGCTTAAGTATTATGTATCGTAAAAGTATAAAAAAGAATTAAAGTCTAAAAGGCACACTATATTAAATATTAAAAATAATAATAAGTGGAATAGGATGTGCTGCAGTTCCACAGTGCTTATTACAAGTCACCACTGGTTACAGTGGTGTGCGAGACTCCAGATTTTACTTCACATCTTTTTGTAAATCATGAAATATCTCTTTTTAATTCATTTGAATGTCAATTATCTTTTCCAAAAGCAGTTCTAGAAAAATTTTTAATCCTCTAGTATTAAAGGAAATTTTGATGACAAATTCTTGCAGATTTTATCTCCCTATGGATTTTTAGTATTTTTTCTAATTAAATATTTCATTTGAAGAGTTTTAATTTGTTATAAAAGGTCTGAGAGCTTTTTCCGAAAACTTAATTAATGTGCAAGATGGATGTGTATTTAATTTTATTTAAAATCTGTGTTACTAAATTTATCAATGTCATTATGTTTGAATTAATTAATAATTCTATTTTTATTGCTTTTAAAAGTATTTTTATAAACAAAAACGTATTTTCCGTAAATTAGAATTTCATCAGTATTAAAAAAAATACAAAATAACCTAAATAATAATGAATTTAAAATTACCCCAAAAGCATTGCTTAAGATGTGGAATAGTGAAATAAGTTGAACATTTCGCACCAAAATTTTATTGTACTACATTAATAAATTGATAATAAATGCATTATAAAGTGAACAGATTTGTTCATTAGGAGTGAGATTTTTCTGTAATCACATCACTGAATAAATCAAAGATTTCTTAGTTTTTCATATTTCAAGGTTGTTAGCTATGGAATAGTACATAAGACAACATTTCAGGTGGTATAAGTCTTGTTTAACCATATAAAATGTTATGAAAAATACGAGTGATTTGGACAAAAAAAAAAAAAAAAATTCAGAGTTGTGAAAAATGTAATTAAAATAATATTTCTTACTAAAATATAAGTATATTTGCTCTTGATACATTGTCAAACATATGAATATATAGCTATAGAAAGATTATGTTACTGTGGTATCTTATGTCTTGCATTAAAAAACATATCAAAATATTTGTCAAGTTATATATTACAGTCCTTATGAGTAGATTATCTAGTTCTAACATAGCTGCTAATTCTCCTAGTTTTTCAGTACTTTCCTTAGTCTCCTAGCAGATACTGTATCTCCTGTTTTTAATTCTTAGCTTTTACTAAAAATGCACCCAGCATTAAATGAAATTTATCGAATTAATGAAATATAATTGTGCAAATTTCATTCCCCCCCTAGCCATAGTGATTTTGAGCATGATTTTTCATATTAATATCAACTTTTTAAAATTATTATACTGATCTTATTTCTTCTTGTATTCATTTATTTATTACTGAATTGTCTTAATCTGTTGCAGACATTTGTAGGACTTTTTATGAAGATTCAAGTCAAGATTAATCAATTCCTATTTGTATTTAATTTTGTATTACATAAATATACAGCACATTAAAAAGTTTATCCACACAGCAGTATGTACAATAATTATCAATTTTATATTCATTGTATTTAAAAAGCATTTTGATAAATAAAAACTTTGTTTCCCTATTCGGGATTTTCGTAGTGTTAAACTGTAAGAAAATTATGAAATGAAATTAACTGAAGAACATAAAGTTGAGTATAAGCATTAATATATTTTGCATTGACATTAATAATGTAATTTAAAGAAAATTTCTGTCAGTCTAAAGTTCTTTTCCAATGGCATCGTCTCACTACATAAAAAAAAGCTATTGGAAACTCCTGGCTTTTGTGTGAGTGAGCACTTCCCAACTTTCCATATTTCAAAATTGTCACCTATGATTTGAAAAGCAACAGTCAAGCAAGAATTTGCTTCACATAAACAAAAAGAACAACCTTAAGAAAAATTAAAGAAAATCATGAAAGTTGATTTATGAGTTTTTAAATTTACTATAAAACTTGGAAGAGTCATTATTTGTGGTTAGTGAATTTCCTAAGAGCATAAAAAAGTGACATTGATGAGGCATAAAAGAAAGCTTGTTTAAGCTTGTTCCTGTTTTATAAAATTGAGGCATCTAAATAGTGAATAGTAAAAAATCATTTCTTGCTTTAGAAAAAGGGTGATATAATTTCCTGTGTCAAAATTTCGTCAAATACTATCACAGAGAATTATAGTTCTGAAAACTTTTCAGGCATACATATTATTCAGCAATATGCTAATTGCCATATAAAAAGAGTGATATATATCAAGCAAATTAAGTTTGTTATAATTTTTGTAACAGAGAAAATATACTGTTTTATGCAAGGTACTTCCCAATTGGTAAAGTGGCTAGTGATGCTGATTTTTGTACCAATGGGCCTCGGTTTGTATTCCAGAAAATTCATGGGTCTTTGTAAGCACCACTTATTGTGTCTGTGTGGCAAGGAGACACTCAAAATACAAGGAGAGGTAAAAGTCCTCTCTGGAGTTTGTTGGTAGGGAAGAAGAGCGGTAGATTCTAAGACTGCTTTTCTCCAGGACGTTTCTTCATTAAAATTGGTATAATTGGGATGGCGCAACACAGTTTGTGATACGTACTGTACTTGTACGAACAATGATGAATTTTTGGTATCTTGCTCACTTGTACCTGTACCTGTATTATGGAAAGCAACTCAAAAGTAATGTTTCCAAAAGAAAATATATGTATGACTGTTGTAATGAAAATATATTTGAACTATTAATCATATGAATGAATGGCAAATGAATCAAGAATTCATTTGCCATTCATTCAGATATTGGATACTGTTGCTCTTTGTGATGTGACAGATATCTACACATTACAAGCTGTGCCAGCACAATCTCATCTACTGAGTGAACCCTATTCTCTCCATTAACCGCTGTGCGATCTGTGAAAATGAGAGGTTGGGTGACTTAAAAGACCAAAACATCAGTGGTACGTCATTTTAATTAACATAGACAAGTCAGCTGTCTGGAAGATATTGGTTGAGGTAATTACATGGCAGAGCACTGTCTTGCTATGCAGCGAAGTTTAGAATTTCTTCTTTCAGTTGGAGCGAAAACCATCCAAACAATATGTCAAGATAAATAAACTCTGCTGCCAGTAATGCCATGAAAAAAGACCCAAACGCACTGAGTGGTTAAGGTGCAGAAAATGTTTGCCTTTGGCGAATTGTATTCATATTTCAGTGTTCATGCAGATTTTCTGCTCCCCAGATCTCAGGTTATGTGTGTTTGCTTTGCCATATATGGGAAACGGGGCTTCTTCACTGAATATGAGCCTGTCCTGTAAGGATTATCTTAATATACCTAGCAGTTAAACTTTGAGTTAAAATTTCTTTCCTATCCTTTCTTAATTTCAAGCTAACAACTTCTGGCCAGAACGCATTTTTAGAGTAGCGTTTGAATGCAAATGAGGAGAAGTATTTAACTGTGAAGTTCTACTGAGTTTGAGAGAGAGAACCAGTGATTCTGACTAGTGCACGTTTCCCTTTTTAGGCTACTCTCTCTTAAGCTATTGTTATGCTCAGCCGTACTTTAGGCCCTTGATAGCTTCGCTGTTATTTAGCGGTAAGGGGCCAGCTCTGTTAAAAACTTGATAGCTTCAGCTATATCTTTTTAGTTAAGATTAGTTAAGTTTAATTGCTTACTTTTTTTGAGTTCAAGCCCGAATGGAGGCTTTATTGTAAAACTCGAAGAAGGAGTTCTGTGAAATAAATTTTTAATAATAAAGGGTATTTAATCCTTCCCGAGTTTTATTTTCTGTCTCTCTAACTCAAGCGATTATTCACTTACCAGTTCTTAAGGTTCCTTAACTTTAGCTACAGATTAAAACATGTAGGAATCTTACAGTCCACAAAATCATCCCCTTCCTGTGCCTGCAAATTCTTGCAGAATATCCTCTATTTTAGTTTGTCACTTGTTTTTAGGGCTTGTACCTTGAAAAAATTTTAAGGCTGAACATTTATGTAATACACTGTTGCATTTAAGTTGTCTGCTGGTATTCTATGTTGACCTACTAAGGTTTGTAAATAAGTTGCACAAGTGTTCACCGTATCATTATTAATGGTTAGATATCTTGTGCTTTTCCCCATGCGTAAGCAGCCAGTCTCCTCAAATTATTTCACCCAGTTTGTAATATTATGCTAGTGTGAAGCTTCTCTGCAAATGTTTCTATGCAATGATGGTTTTGCATTTTTTAGCAACAGTTACCTTTCGCTTTTGCTGATATTTTGTTTTGCTTTGAACATCAGAGTCTTCAATGAGCATTTCAGAAATGAGTTTTTCACTATAGTGAAATAAAATTTGGAGTGTAACCTCTCATGTTGTATAGTACTTGTGAAATAATAATTCATTGCAACAATCACAAGTATATTTTATTATTGTACTATTAATTTTGAAGAACCTTATATTTACAATTTTTGACCATTATATCAGTTTTAATCTATCATGCAGTGGGTATAAGCAAATATAAAATATTTTATGTTGGCCAGAATTGTAACTAGTTCTACCATGACAACCTAGTCTGCTCCTTCTTTCTAAATTCTGGAAATCTATATAAGCATTTTAAAAAAATTGAGTTAATACAAACCTTTGCATTACAGTTTTGCATTGCTGTATTATTAAAATGCATTATATTACACATGTAAAAAAATAACACAGTTAAGATTTTAATTTGGTTAAAATGTTAAATTTTTATTTTAAAAGTGAGGAAGTAATATACATATTTATGTATTTTGTGGCTGGCACTAGCCATTTCAGGCTTTGGCCATGACTAAATCCTAAGCTGTGGTCATTTTATTATGGAGGCACCTAATAAATGTCCTATGAAGAGATAGACAGTCTGAGATGCCCTTCTCCGGGACTCAAACGTGGGCCCTTCGCTACGGCACTCATTAACCACTTTCCCGTCTGGGCAGCAGCAAACACTGAAAAAGAAAGAGAAAAATTTGTTTCCCATAAATGAAATTATTTCTAAAACATAGAAGTAATTAATTATACAGACTAATGCAGAGAAAATGTATGAATATTTGTCTGTTACTTAAAATTCTATTTGTTGCACAATCTGCTAATGAAAAATTCTCCCAAGTTCATGTGGCAGTGTCCAAGTTAATCGAATCTTTTTGCGTAGTGGCAGCTAACCTAATTAAAAGATCCTAGTGTTCTGGACATAGTGCTAGTAATACAAATGCTTCCTCTCAAAACTTAGATTTTGTGAAATCATTTCTTTTTATCATTAATTATTTTTAAGAATTAGTGAACTTGAAAAATAACAGTTTTGTTTCAAAAAGTGATTAAATTGATTTCTGCCATTGTATCACATTTAAGTTTTCAATAACTCACTAACACATATTTTGGCCATTTCTTGTAATTCTTTAGATTGTGTATTTTATGCCTATATACATAAAATGTGTTTCTTATATGATGTTTCATTCTTATATTCTAGGCAAAGTTTAACAAACCTCTTCTAATTGCAAAATGTGATGAAGCTAACCTTCTTATAAAGCAACATGAAAACTTGCTTTATTCTCGTCTTAAAATGTTCGTCCATCTACGTCAAGATTTAGAAAGAGTAAGTGATTTCAGAATACAAACACACACACACACATATATATATACACACTGAGGAAGTAAGTATTAAAAGAATTTCAGATCTAAGTAATCCAGTATATTAAACATCAATGTGTCTTTAATTTTTCTCTCTCAAAAATAAGCTTGAATTTGAGTGAAAACTTCTAGTAGCCCTTTGTTGTCTTGCTTCTCAAATCAAATTGAGACATGTGATTGCCATTTAAATAAATATGAGCATATTTTATTTTGCTATCATATGCAAAATGAAGCTTATTTATTCAAAGCTGTTTTAGACACATCAGATTAAGGGCCAGACTCCATGTTAATTGTAGTTAAATTATCTAATAATGTTCACTAGTTATTTCTTGTAGGAAATGTTTTACCTTATGTGTTTTTTCTGATTATTGCAAATGTAAATTTTAAATCCGTGTACATTTCAGTGCACTGAAGTCTGAATACATGAACTGAAATAAAAGTGTGTAAAGAAGACCCCCACTTTGCTCTTTAATGCAAGTATTATTAAACTCCAAATGCTGAACAACTAAATTTACTACTTTCATGTGGTGTTATAATCGACTATAACATAGGTTTTGTAAAGTGTACTTTTGTGTTAATAGTGGCAACTATAAAAATCTCTAGGCACAAATAGTACAGCATAATAAAAACTGCAAAGCAAAAAATGCATGAAAATAAGGAAAATAAAATGTAACAAAATTGCACTGACATTTATTTCTTCTATACTTTTTCTCACTTATATCTTTCCTGTAGTTTCTGTTGATATGGTTTCGGAAGAATTACCATTTTTTAACTAACCTTACATAAATTCTGCTAATTCAATTTAAGGTAATGTCAAATCACATACAGTATTCTTTTGTGGAAAGGCACTTTATCATACAATAGAGTATGTGAAAATTATAATGAGATGCAATTATCATTGATGAAGGAATTTGGCCATAGAGTGTTAGAAATCATGGGCAAAGGCATTCAGTTTAGAAATTAATTCTATGGTTGTTGGCTGCCATTTCTAAAAAATGTTGAGGTCTATTTGTTTTAGGACTCCAATGTATTGAATACTGTTAAAAATATGTGGAATAATTTCTAATTGGAATAGTTACATGAAATAGCTACTTGAAAAATGGCTACTTGACTACTGTGGTAGTTAATAACAGAGACAGTGGTTTTCTTTCCTATTGACTGCTGTAGTGTAAAAATGCTTTATAATGTTACATATGGAATCATATGCAGTAGTCTTTTATCTTTCCATATAGAAAGCGTGATGGACCTTTCTGTGAAAACCGTATTTTGTAGTCTTTGAAGATACTTGTATTTTTCTTTTAGTATTTTTGACAACCATAATTATTTCGCGTTATACCACAAACTGTAATTCTTCAATAACAGTTGTGGAATAGATACAATATTATAAAAAGTACCTTCGTATAAATATATATATATGCATCAGTACTTCTGTGATCTACTTCCAAAATTGTGCTAATATTATGATTATTAGAGAATATGGATTGTGTCCTAATAACCTCAATATAACATTTTTCCTCAGTAGGGTTTCTGTAAAATAGTATCTGCAAACACACCATTCTAAAAGATGTCATTGACTATTCAAATACTGGTGTGCTTTCATTACATATTTTGACCAGTTCTAGTTATGAAGAAATCTACACGGGTTTGTTGTTCAGTGTTCACAGTGAATTATGGAAAAATTCTGTTTCAGTGAAAATTTTAATGCAAGTTTTTGCCACATTCATAATCAAATCATTCATGTTGTGTCATCAAGCCACAGTTTTAAAGGCCAAGAAAATGTTATAAGAATTACATAGTTGGTGTTAATTTTTGTCTTTTTCCTGTATGTATTTTGAGATTGTGTGTATGGACACTTCCCAAAAGTCTTCTCACTAAAATTTCATGTAGCCTTAGATGTCCTGTTCATGGAATCATTACTTCATCGTGATAGTTTTTTTAAATATAAAGCTTTAAATTTTTAAATATGATTACCTAAAAGAAGTTAATTTTCTAAAGTCTGTTGCGAATTGCTGCAAATTATTTTTTGAGGTAAAAGTATGTAAATATTTCCCCAAGCTCTTTCTAGTCACAATTTTAGAAAAAATGGGCCTAATGTTGGCTGATGAGTCGGCCAGTAGTTTTTTTCTCTTTTGGTTTTCTCTAGGTTTGTCTTATCAGTGTAATTAAACTGAGGGATAAAAAAATTCACATCGCTGTGTGTTCATTCATGGTAAAGGTTTAGCAGAAGTTTTAATATTTTTTTTTCTTTTGAAGATGGCATAAATGTGTTTGAGAAGTAATCAGAAATCATTATGAAAAATTTATTTGTTGTTTCATATTTTCAATTCTTTAAAAAACTGTTGGTAGCCCTGTGCTCCTCTGAATTTTTATTCTTCTTCATATCTCATTTACTTTTTAAAAATTGAGGCAGTTTTGGGCTCCGAAAGTAAATAACAGTTTACTGTTGAAAAGTCTATACTGGAATTGTAAGTTAAACTGTTATTTTAAATGTCTGAATATATGTAGGTAGAAATCTTTTCATATTCTTATATTTTAAATTGAAATTACTAATTATCTGCAACTTTTCTCTGTATGTGACATGTTCTGCATTTGAACTGAATGGAACTGCTTGAACTGTAGTAATGTACTGATAGTGAGCTTTGTGTAAATCATCATCAAGATGTAATATATTTTTGTAAACTGACTTGGTACTTGGTAGTTTGGAAAGGAAGATATTTTAGAAGAAACAGTATTTTCTTCTAAATTTTGATTCTGATTGCACCCATTCACTTAAACACTATGCAGATATTTAATGTTTTTATACATGGATATTTATTACCGTATATACCCGCGTATAAGTCGACCCCCCCCCCCACTTCGACATAAAAAATTCGTAGAAAACAAGAAACCTGTGTATAAGTCGACCCCCCACTTCCGAAATCGATCGAGAAACTTTGAAAAAATTTTTTTAAGTACTACATTTATTCAAAATAATCTGAGGAAAAAAAGTAAATATACGATAAAAAATACCTTGGTAAAATAAACAAAATCAAAATCCTTCAACGTCCTGATTCATGGTCAGATTCGCCAAACATTTCATAGAACTCTTTTGTCGTCATTGGCTCGTCATCATACATATTTTCAGTCTCGAACTCTGGATCGTTACAATCACTACTAGAGCCTTCGTCATCATTTTCACTTTCAAAACAGCAGCATTATCATCTGTGCCGTTCTAGTTCGTTGCTAATACAACATTTTTTAAATGATTTTATATCATTTCCAGAGGGTATTTCGTTCCAAGCATCTTTAACCCACTGAGCAATTAATGTAATATCGGGCTTTTTAATGTTGCCTCCCTTTGTAAATGTTGGTCGACCGGAACTAATCCACTCTGTCCAATATTTTCTAACATTTACTTTGAAGGGCTTATTGAGGCAGACATTTAGGGATTGTAAATGACGGATGTCAATCCTCCCGGAAAATTATCGGCCACAGTCCCTTTTTAGGTGTTTAGTAACTTTTGTCACTTCTTCAGAAAAGTGTCCACAAAAAGAATCGTATACTAAAAGAGAAGGTTTTTTGAAAGCTTCTCCCGGTCTTTTATCCCACACATTTTTAAGCCAATCGACTGTTCCGTCAGCATCCATTCATCCTTTTTCATGGGTGCGAACCAGCACACCTGATGGAAACACGGCGTTTTTCGGTAAAGTTTTTCTTTTAAAAATGATCAACGGACGAAGCTTACTGCCGTCAGCCAAGCACGAAAGAACGACCGTAAAATGGGTTTTTTCATGCCTGATCGTTTTTATCAAAATGCTTTTTCCCCCTTGCAGTCAATTGTTTTATTTTCTGGTAGATCGAAACACATGGGGGTTTCGTCCATATTCCCTATTTGGGCAAGTTCAAAAGAAGTCCTTTTTCTTACATCGATGATGTGTTTTTGAAGTTAAATAACCTTTGTTTCCAAATCAGATGGTAACTTTTGCACCAGTTTGGTGCATTGGTGTAAACACAAACCATGGCGATTCATAAATTTAGTGCACCAATGTGTTGATGCACGAAACGTGTTTGGAACACCATACTTTTCTTCTTTTGCAAGCTTGAATGAACAATAACTATTATAAAGACTTATACGTACGTAAAAACTATCTGCATTTCTCTTTTCTTGGCGTGTTTTTTTTTTTTTTTTTTTTTTTTTATATTTTTTTAAAGAAAAAGAAATCCTCGTGCACCACAAAGTATCGCACAAGACTTACAAATCGTAAGTGAAAAAGGCAGAATAGTAAGTAATATCATCAGTTTTCAACAATACAATGAAATCATAACAAGGAAAAAAAAACACAAGTAAATACAAAAGTATAAAAATGTATAAAGAAATCATTAACAGTGTTTAAAATAAAAGTCAACAAAATCATTGAAAGCTCGGTAGGCCGAAATCGAGGATACAAAATCATAACATTTTGGCGGCCAATGAATTCCAATGAATTTCAATCTACATTTCAAAAGATTTCTTGCTTTATCAAGCAGTGGGCAATGAAAAAAAAAAAAAAAAAAAAAAAAAAAAAAAAAAAAAAAAAGCAGGTGAAAAACACTTTGCTCAACGCTAAGATTGCAATTACACAAATTGGAAGATATCAGCTTAAATCGTTCAAGATAAACATTAAACTTACCATGTCCAGACAAAAATTGCGTAACTTTAAAATTGAGCAACAAGTCCTTACTTTTCAGTCTTTCAAAAATAGTTGGGAAGAATGTTTTTGTAACAGATCCCTTATCAGAAGAGATATAATCATAGTTCCACCGCTCAATCATTTTAGCTTTGAATGTTTTTTTTAAATAAGATTTTGGAATATTTACATCAACGTTAATATCATTTTTAGTAGCATTCTTAGCAAGCCAATCAGTTCTCTCGTTTCCATAATTACCCGAATGACACGGACAAATGTAAAAAACACTGAAATACCCCTCTTCTCCAGATCTCCAAGAGACTGCTGTATATTGACAATAATATCATTACATAAAGAGGTATTTTTAAGAGATTCCAGGGAAGAGAGTGAATCCGTACAGATTAAGTAGCTGGAACCACTTCCATTTTGGCTAATTATCCACTTGATTGCAAAATTAATACACAGAAGTTCAGAAATATATACAGTACATTCATTTCTAATGCGAAATTGGTGACACTCAATTTCAATATCATCTTCAAAAATAACATAAGCAAAACCAACTTTATCATCAATCCTACTACCATCCGTATACAGCACAAATGAGAATGAATTAACATCAGTGTCCGTACTATCCAGAATCTGTACTGGTTGTCTTACAGAAGGATGTGGTAGAACAGACAAGGGCAATAACGACCAAAGTGAGAATTGGAGTAATTTGCAAGACTATTCTTATAATCTATAAAAGTCAGAATAAACAAATCCAGTGGTGGAAATCCGGCAAGAGAGAAAACAGCATTGTAACTAATAGTTCGGTAACCGCTTATAACTCGCAGCAAAATTCGTCTTTGAACTCGAAGCAGGCGTTTAGAGTTAATTTTCTTTTTTAGAGACAATCCCCAAGCTCTACATCCATATGAAATAAGGGGTACAATGCCTTGTTTATAAATAATTGTGCTAACATTCGATTTAACACCGAAACTATTACAAGCAATTCGATTCAGCCCACGCTGAAGTCTCTCACATTTATTAGAAATGTAGGAAATATGCTTTTTCCAGTTAAAATTTGCTGTCCAAAAAAAACCACCTAGATATTTAATTTCATTCACCCTCTCAAGGGGATTGTCATTTAAAAGCAATTGATATCCTTCATAAGTAGTATTTTTTCTATCAATAAACATGGCCTTGGATTTTGCATGGTTAAACTTTAACTTAAAATCTATTGACCAATGATAAATGAAATCTATAACATCTTGGGCGAGACGAAAAGCTTTTTGCATTTCTTTTCCTTGAATACAAATCAACAAATCATCTGCAAAGGCAATGACTTCACAACTGAAGAGATCAGAAAGTTTCTGTAAGAGATCATTCATAATAATAATCCAAAGCTTGGGACCGGAAACAGAACCTTGTGGACAACCTCTTTGAGGTCGGCGAACACTTGAGGTACCACCAAAGTAGCTCGACCGTCCTGTCTTTCAGTAAATCAGAAACAACATTAAACACATTTTGAGGTATCTTTGTTTCTTTTAGTAAATTGAGAATAGCAGGCCACCATGCATTATCAAAAGCTCCTTCAATATCAAGAAAAATTAAAATAGTGTACAAACCTCTCATCTTACCCCTCTGTACAATGTTGCTAAGACACAGAAGTGCATCCTCAGCACATTTTTGAGCAATGAAACCATATTGGTCAGCACTAAGAATATTTTCTTTATGTAGATGCCAAGTAATTCTGTTAGTAATTAGTTTTTCAAAACATTTACCTAAAGAAGAAAGAAGAACAGATACACCTAAGATTATTCACATGTGGAACAGTGATACTTTGTTTCTTGGGTATCACAATAACAAGGGCATTCTTCCAAGTTCGTGGAAAAGCACCAAGATTCAAACATATATTAAATAATCTATGAAAAACTGCAGGAAAAAGACGATGGAAGTATCTTATGGTTTCATTGGGAATAGAGTCCGGGCCAGGAGACCTGCCAAGCCCTAAATTACGAATTACATCATCAACCTCGGCCTGCGAAAAAGGAGGATCAATCTGAGACGCATAACTACTGCGAGCAGATTCTTGGCGTGTTGGCGAAACTTTTTATTGCTCGATACTGATCGGTTGTTCGGGGGTTGAAAATGCTTTGGTTTAATCGAAACTTACTCTAGTTAAAGTATGAAACTCTGTGATTAGTTCGTCACATAATTTAACTCATGAAATTACTTCAAGTAAGTGACTTATTTGATAAGTTGTCCAATTTGAGTGCGGGAAGAAAACAACTGCATTATATAAAGAAATTTTTGAACTTCCGATTCTTTTGATTTTTTTATGGCCCCTCGTATAAGTCGACCCCCCCCCCCACACACACACTTCGAAGTCTTTTTTTGTCCAAAATGTCTCGACTTATACGCGGGTGTATACGGTAGATACTTTTAAATCACCTGTGTTGCTAAAATTGTTTTCATATCTAAAAATTTTGATTTCAAGTGTTTTTATTCATTAAAAATTTGTATTTTTATTAACAAACAGCAGCTGTAGTAATTGACTAAAATTACTCGGGGGAATTTTTTATTTCTAACATATTGAGAAAACTTTGAAAAATGGAAATTTTATTAGTTTTTATGTAATTCAAAGAGAAAAATGACAAGTTTAAATTTGCATTTTTAGGCTACCAAATAAGATTCTCCCCCTTCAAAGCAAGGATTATTTTTTTAAGGTGAAATGTGCTTAATAGATGTTTTGTTAATATCTGAAAATCATGTATTTTCAACTTCATTATCTGTGTTAAAATTTCAATTTAGTTTGGGAATTAGTTCAGATATATTGTGAAAAAGGGGAGAAAATTGAGAATGTTTCCTAATATTATTTTTCATTGCTTCCTTAGGTTATTTTGTGCTGTTTGCTGTGTTTACATTTCTACATTTTTCATGTACATTTGTATTTTAAACTTAATTATTTTGCAGTATTATTAATAAATTTTGTATATTTTATTAATTCTTGTGATTAATATTGTAGGTGAGAAACCTTTGTTACATGGTGAGCCGGAGAGAGAAGATTTTCCGTTCATATGTGCGGATAAAAAATGAAGTATTGGAAAAGCAAGTGGAAATTTTATCTAACAGTTCCTTCAAATTAACTGCTAAAGAAGTGGAAGAAGTAATGAAAGCCCGAGTTGGAGATTCTTTATATGATAAATTTTATTGTGTAGAACTCGAAGAAGATAAAAAAGAAGATATTGCTAATAAGTCCTCCACATCTGTGCAGAAAGCTCCAAATCCTTATGCTAAAAGTTATTCTAACAGCATATATACGCGGTCCAGAAGGCATACAACATCTCAGAGCATGACAGACAATTGCGATGATAGTTGTGATAATGAACATTTAGATATGCCTAAGCTTGTAAAGTGTAAATCAGAAGAAAATGTTAATACATTAGAAACTCAAACAAATAACAGTGAACAATCATTCACTCATTCACCATTTGTTATTAAAATTGCCCCCAAGCAGAATGAAAATGATATTAAACCAAACATTGAACCCATATCTGACCTTCCAATAGTTGAAGATATTAATGCTTCCCCTGACAAAGAAGCTCATGATATTTCATTTAAAAGTACTATAGAACCCCATGAAGCACAATTAAATCCTGAAAATGGTGCTAAAGTGAAAAAAATAGTTTCTAGTAATGAAGGATCAAATGATAAACATTCCCTTTGTCTTAGCGATAAAGAAAACATCAATGGACATACTCCTGTTAAATTGAAAAAAATTCGCGGCCAAGTAGAAGTGAGACATACAGAATTAAAAAGTGCAGTTCAGGAGTTTGCTAATCAGAAGTCAGAGTTATATGATGATGATAGCTCTCTTGGTGTAGCTAATGAAATTAGTAGTTCAGATGGAAAGAAAAATTTTAAGATTGATAAACGCAGTACACGTTATCAGATGAGGACTCGATATTATAGCACTGATAACATGGAAAGCCTAGAAACTCCATTTAAACCTACAGATACAACTGAAGCAGAAATTATGTCACCAAACCCAGATGATTCCACCACAAACTCTCCTTCAAACTGTAGTGATGCATTGTCTTTTTTAACTCAGGATTCTGAGAGAACTGAACAGGAGAAAGAGCCTATTGATAGTACTCCTGTTCCAATCCAGCGTAAAAGACGAGGGCGTCCGAGGAAAATATTACATCCTAATGAAACTTCTATTATGAATTTTTCAGTTATTAAAAATGAAGATGTGTTGGGTAATGAAAAGAATAGTTTATGTAGTGATATAATAGAGCTATCCAATTCAAATGAAAGTTCAGGGTTTAAAATGTCTCTTAGGCATAGTCGAGAGCACATTTCTGTAAAATCAGGTGAGCAGAAGCAGAAGAACAAAAGATCTGTTGTGGTCAAACTAGACCACTCAGATGCTGTACCACTTAAAGAAGCCAATAAAGATATTCTCAGTGAAACTGTAGGAGTTGAAAGTGAACATACTCGAAGCTCTTCTGAATGGGATAATGAAGGTACTTCTCCACCTAGGCATAATTCTGTTGAGCAGCCTGCTTCAACGCGAATAATAATTAGGTTACGGAAGGATCCTAATAGGGAATCATGGAAAAATGACTCATGTTCTTCCTCTGATGTCCCTGTTGCTTTTAGAATAGTCCGCAATGATTTGGATGTAAACTGTGAAGGTTCGATGTCTGAATTTCATTCTGTGATCAAGAACACTGACTCTCGACAGAACCAGACTTATTCAGTTAGGAATGATAGTGAAAACAAACATCGTTACTTAATGCGCGAAAGGTCTGTAACGCCCAGAAATATAAAATGCACATTTGGAAGAAGCTAGTGCTTCTGATTTCATATTTCTACTGTATATATACATACACACACACACACACACATATATATATATATTGAAATATTACATTAAAAGTCAGAAAGTCCTGTTGAAATTAGATGAAGATTTGTTGTGAAGCTGGAAATGACTGCACATTTTAATCTGTACAGTAATTTTTTTATCGTTGCTCTATAAAGAATGCAGTATTAGTTGATTAAAAGAATGCTACTGTTTTATAAAATAAATTAAAAACCATTTGTTAAATATATAAATATTGATATTCCAATTTTGAAAAAATGTTGAAATTAAAGATATTTTAACTTGGCTTCAACCTTCTTTTTTTTAAAAAAAAGAAAAAAATAGCTGTCTAGTCGAATGAAAGGAACTTATGCGAGTTCAAAGAATTTTAGTACCTGTTTTGCTGTTGTGCAAATAAAATATTTTTTTAATCTAATAATTTAAAGTGTATGTCTTAATGTTCATAAAATATTTGCTTATTTCATTTCCATAATGTTAATTTATAAATGGCTTTAAATATGTATTTGACATCAGGAATTAATTTTATTGCATAATTAACATGGCTTTATTGAAAAATAATTGTAACTACTGTAAACGTGTATTTATTTATAAGGCATTTTTTATGTATATTTTTCTCTGTTGCAGTAATGCAAACTGTGCAGCATGTTTTAGAGAATGAAAATATTTTAAGTAAATGTTTTAACCTGTTTTTAAGAGTTATGTTTTATTTATCTAAATGTTCCTTTTTCACAGGGCAAATGAATGAATTATAAATATAGCTAAGTTTTGCATGAATTTAAGGTATCATAAGTATATTCAATATTTCAGTTTTATGTTTTTTTCATATTGAATTATTTATTTATAAGGGCATAAGGAATAGTTATGGAACTGTAAATCTACATAATTGTTGTGTGTTAGTCATTATAATATTTTATCATCATCATTAACATTATTAAACAAAATACTTTTATGTGATTTTCTGAAACCCGATTCAGTTACTTTTGTACAAAGAAGTATATTACCTTTAATTACAATTTTTTGAATTCTACTCTGTAATATATTCTTAGGTTTTCATTCTTAAAAACTGAAATAATAACTGATGAATACAATATGCATGCAAATGCAAAACAATACAATATGCATGCAAATACAAAATATCTGTTGCATATTTCAAAATAGTATACAGTCAAAAGTCGTTAATCCTAACTCGTCGGGACTTCGGCGATTCCGGATTATCGATTTTTCCGGATTACAGATCATCAGTTTAAATCTGGTAAGATGGCATGCAGAAATTACAAAATTAAAAATATGAAACCGTAATTTATGAAATAAAGAACAATTATGAACTAAAGGGTATCAAAATTTACAAAAAGAAAAAGCTTAATATTTATTTGTTTACTTTATTAAACATTTCTTTCAATGTAAGTTGCTTCGTTTCATGTGATAATACTTTCTCTTTAATTCTATTTAAACAGACATAATTCTTGTTTAGTTACAAAGTTCCGCTGTTCAAGTCCTATAAAAACTGTGTTGAGAATACCCACTAATTTGTCAATCGAAATGTTTTCGTTTTCAATAACCTCTGGGTCACTTTCTTCACTATGGGAAGTGAATTATAACGACAAGGAACTTGATTTAAATCATATCAAAGACAGAGTACATCGAGATGAAATACTAGACTTAGTAAGGAATTATAAGCCAAATAAAATAAAAACATCTGCTCTGAAGATAAGGATAGTGTTGACAGATCAACTTCCAATCCCTGGTGTGAAATTGATAAACAGATTTCGGATTTCAAAACATACTTTCGCTTTGTAGATACAAATTACATATTAGTAAATATATATCGGAAATTCTATTTGACATAATCGAAAGTTCAAGCTTACTTTCATGAAATTGCTCTAACAGTCTGCAAAAAATAATAAGCCGGATCCAATTCGAAGATTAAGGAACAACGCAATCTGCAACATTAACTGAATTTTTTAGCTTAGCTTATCCGGTCCGTCACACATTAAACGCGCATGCGCACAAACATATTCGCAGACGTAAAGGTCTTACGTGCACTATTAAACGCCTGTGCGCATGCGTGAACGCGACGCATGCAGAAAGTTTGTAGCTTTGAGGTCCGGATTATGGGTGTCCGAATTAACGACTTTTGACTGTATATTGTTATTTAATTGATCTAATTCATATTTTAATCATCTAGTGAAGATGTAATAAACCATCTTATATGTCTCAATTCATTACATCATATTTTTGTGTGTTTTGTGTTTGTAAATTTATGCACTGTTACTAAATTCTATAAATGTATTTTGCATTTGATTATATATATGCATATATCTAGTTTTCAAATGGAATTTTAAGCCTAAGACTTTATACCATTGTTGTTTCTTAAATATAGTCTTGTATATAATTATTTACAGATGTTATCCTAATACGTAACATTTGTATGTAATTAAATGCAGTTAAATTTAAGTTCTGCCTAGTTCTTTTACAATAGATACTGGAATTTTAAAGCAAATTTTTCTTTATTTGGATTTAATTTCTACTAATTTATTATTATTTATTAAGATGCTAGTTTAGCTATATCATGGTGGTAAGGAAATTGAAATTTGTTATTATAATTTATTGACTTTACTTATGTAAACTATATATATTAAAGAAAAAAATAGTGTCGGTTTAAAGTTAAATTTTAGTTAAATGAAATAGTAAACAGTTTTCAGGATGAATTGAGTATATGTAGTCCTCAATTAAGGCAAACATCCATTCTTGAGCAAAACTGTAAACTGAAACATTTCTGCACTGTGAAATGATTGAAATGTCCTGATATACATCCCCCCCCCAAGTCCTTGATAAATAAGTAATACAGCAACATTGTATTCAAAATCCTAGATATATATATATATGTGTGTTAGAAATTTCAAATTAAAGTTATAAATTATTAAAGTTGTGCAGTATGCTGCAAATTTAATTAAATAATCAAGAGAGAATAATTGAATCAGGAAAAAGGTTAACATAATTGGAAGTATGCACAACAGAATTGAAACAGAAACAATTTAATAAAATATAATTAATATAACCTAATAAATGTTGAGTAAATCTGTATTGCATGTTTTGGTACATTTAAAATTAGAAATGTCCTAATGAAGCAAAGGTAAACAAATCTGAACCAGAATAAAGTCAGTTCTGTGATAAAACTTGGTTAAAATTATCATGTTTTCTGCATTCTTGGGGGGAGGGGAGTGCGATGAGATTTGTTATGTTTTTTCTTTCTGTCAAAATTTCATTATTCATCTTTATTTTATTATGAATGAACATCATAGAGTTGTATTTGATAAGAGACTCTTCCTGTTGTGGTTCCACTCATCAGTGAGTCTGGCCTTTGATAATGATTAAAGTGCCTGTTTCTCCTCTGACAAAGAATAAATTTGCATGAAAACAAAATTGCATATGCAGATATCAATATCCTAAAAATGAAGAAATTTAGAAACATTTCAATGAGTTTTATGAATGTTTCTTGCATTTACGAATTATTAATTTTTCATGGACAGATTTAAACTTATACATATAATTGCTAGACTAATCTCTTTATAATTTTTATTTGAAATTATGAATTGTGATTTAAGTATTAGGAACTGTATGTATAAAAATTAAAATATATTTTCTCAGTTTTGACTTGAAAATTAGCTGTAGAAACTGATGAAAATGAGACACGGTTACCACACTACATGGAAAACCTGGAAAAGTCAGATAATTTGAAAATTGACCCCCCCCCCCACGCACACACACCAAAAAAAAAAAAAATTTTAAATAATTTAGTCGAAATCTGTAAAAGTCGGAATTTCATATGGCGATCCTAAGAGAATGTGCTTTTTGTGCAAACGTTTGCCACTTTCTTGGTGAATTATGTATGACATTAGCGTGATTTAGGCATTTGTCATAGAGCTAATTTTTGTAGCTCCAATCAGATTGTCTTTTGAAAGACAAAGCAAGTTTCCAGTAACCTTGAGAACCAAGAGACTCACACATGCAATGCATGTTGAACAAAAAATAAAAAAAATTAAATTAAATTTAAAAAAAAAAAAATCTTCCTATTCTCGTATAAAATAAATTCAGTTTAATTCTGTCATATGGTAGACATGAGATTTGGCAACATCATAAGGAGCAGTACGCGGGTGATTTTGGTGTTGGCGACAATTTTCCAAATTGTGTCAAGGCCTCAGCGTATACTAGGATTGTACCACAAAATTGTTTAAACCTTATTTTTCTTTTTAATAAATGCCTTATTTGTCATTCTGCAGTAAGATAAAAAAAGTAGTAATCTGTCATCTTGGCTAACCAATTACTATGTTCACTAAAGTATCATTGTAATTCAATTTTTAATCTTTAAGTAATTAACTTAGGGGAATGGATTCATATTATTTAATGTTACTTCTTCCTTCCAGATTTATTTATTATTAGTTAATAATACTTTCAAATTTCAGGCAGTTTTCTCTGGCATACTCCTGAAACTAATTATAGCAGTATGATAATACAGTCAAAAGTCGTTAATCCGGACTCGTCGGGACTTCGGCGATTCCGGATTATAGATCATCAGTTTAAATCTCGTAAGATGGCATGCAGAAATTCTAAAATTAAAAATATGAAAACCGTAATTTATGAATAAAGAACAATTATGATCTAAAGGATATCAAAATTTACAAAAAGAAAAAAAGCTTAATATTATTTGTTTACTTTATTAAACATTTCTCTCAATGTAAGTTGTTTAAGTTGCTTCATTTTATGTGATAATACTTTCTCTTAATTCTTAAACAGACATTATTTCTTGTTGAGTTACGAAGTTCCGCTGTTCAGTCCCGTAATTGCTGTGCCGAGAATTACCGACTAAATTGTCAATCGAAATTTTTTCGTTTTCACTAACCTCTCTGTCATCTCTTCATGTCTTTATCCATTTTTTGCAGCAATTGCACTTTTGTTTGATGGACATCAAAACATACTTTCGTTTTGTAGATCGTTTGGGAGCTCCAGCATTGAAAAATTCTATTTGATATAATCGAAAGTTCAAGTTACTTTTATAGTATTGCTCTACAGTCTGCAAAAGATAATAAGCCGGATCCAATTCGAAAATTAAGGAACAACACAATCATCAACATTAACTGAAATAGATAATTAGCTTATTCCGTCCGTTATACATAAAACGCGCACCCGAAAACGTATTCTGCACTTGCGCAGACGTAAAAGGTCTAAAGGCCCGTCCACACGAGTACGCTCGAAACGTAGCTGACGAACGTGCTTTTACATTACCAGCGTAAAAGCGTCCAAACGAGTACGCTTGCGAAGAGTGCGTTTAACCAATAGAATTATTTTGCGCAAAAATCACGTGACGCTGTAATATAGCGTCAACAGAGCTGTATCTTATTACTTCGCGTGTTTCTGTATGTTTGCGGCAAGTTGTCCAAATCAGATGATTTTTTTAATAGCTGAAATTTTACTATTAAGTGCAATTATTAAGCAGAGGCAAAACCGCAAAAAAATGGTAAGAATGGGTCCGAAAGATTTATTTATGTTCAAAGAGATTTTAGATGTTTTTTTTACTGCCTCGTTTACAAAAGGAATATCCGGGAATTATAAAATTCCTACTATTACTCACACTCTCCTATATATTGTTCAAATTTTCAGTACATAAAATGCTTTTATTCATCAAGTTCA